TGAATACGAAACTTGGATTCAGCTTTCAAATATTGGTGAACATTCATTTCTCAAACAGGAGCAATCCTAGCAACTTCCTAGTCCAAAAAGCACAAGCTGTCCAAGTGCATAGCAGTTACAAAGATAAAATTTCAGGATTCTGCAAGAATCTGATCCTCTATCATCCATCTACTACTATCTCTAAGAAAAAAAAACAAAAAACAAAAAACAAAGAATTAATTCTACCATTCTATTTTTGCAATTGAAGAACTTTAGGAAAACCACAGAGCCTTCCTCACAGAGGAAATGACATTGCTCAGCTCCGGGCAAACACCAGGTGCCCACTTTGAGCTGGGCCTGGTGAAGGAAGACCATGCAGGAAGGGCTGCCTCCACCACAGCGATGTTATGGTGCATCCCACTGCTGTGGGTGAAGACAACTTTTAAACAGCTGCTCTCCACACCTGATGGATTACGTCTGACTTCAGAAACCTTAGGGAGCCATGCTTTTTTAAGAAAAGAACATCCTCTTGATGGGCAAAAAAATTTAGTCATCATTTTTCCAGGCAATGGAGATCGTGATTTTAATTCTTTTATTGTGTCTTTACATGCTGTCCCTGTGGTTGAGTGAAACAGAATTTCTAAAAAGATATGGAAGAGTGTTAGAGACATTCTGTAGAATTCCCATTCCACACAAAATCAACTGTAATATAGTATTTCTTTAACACATGCCTTGGAAGATAGTGGGGAAAGAGGAGAGATTTCTCCACAGCATCAGCAAAGCTCTGAGTTGTGGCTTCTTTTATTATCAGTTCAGCAGTGCTGATGTGGGCCCGGAGCTTTTGCCAAGTCACGTATTTATAACTGTAAGAAATTTCTATAGCATTATGCTAATAAAATTGTGCAGTAGCTTGCATTTATACTCTGCCTACAGGGGAACACTGTGATTCTTCTCTGTTTGAAAGTCTGCTGGTGCTTTTTAGTGAGAAAGCTGAGGACTCATCTAAATGCCCACAAAAGGACCAAAGTAGCAGCCAGAGTTCCTCTGTGAGGGTCTCATACTCAGTTTCCAACCAAATAACATTAAGGAGGCATTGTTAAGACCCTCACTGACAACATCTTTTGACATCTCATCACTCTGTCAGAACTTTTGGACTTTGCCACACTGGACACAAACAAATTAGAAAACGCAGTCAGACAGCCAAGAATACAATGTGCAAACAGCGTCCACTGTTATATGTATCACATGTACTGAGGCTGAAAGGAGTTGTTGCATCTGTTGACCTTTTTTAAAATACAAGTCAGTTTTTCATAAAGAGTTTTTCGTAGTGGATGTTCTTCATTTATTTATTTTTATGTCACAGAATACTTTCCTGGAAGGAAAAAAAATCTGTTTTAGTGTGCACAGTTAAACTCATGCACATTTCATCAGATTTGTTTTTCCAGATTAAATATTTTCTACAGAAATAATGTTTCTTAAATATTTACAAACTGATCAAGTAATCTTCTCATTTTTTATAAACTAACTAGACCGGCGCTCTTCAATTTCCCAAAGCAAAGAGGTATTTGTTCACTCAGGAGTTCTTATGCTTCCTTTCTAAATTCTTTCCTACTTTTCTTAATTCTTTCCTACAGATCAACTGAATGCAAAACACTAATAATCATTTAACTAGCGCTGTACTCAGAACAAATGCTATACCTACTATATCCCTTAATCGATATTATCGGATTTATAGTCCAAGAACTGCATTAGACTAATTAGCAAAAGCATCTCATTTGTGTTCAATTCATTTCCTACTGTGATCTTCAAAAGATTTTCACATTTGCTATACACCTCCACTGCACAAATATGACCTTTATGATTTACTTTAAATTCCAATAAAACTCATGTTGTCCAACTATAACCATTTACAAGGCAATCAAGAGTGTTGCATTTCCTCCTACGCTACTAACCCTAACCAGGTCAGGACCAAATTCGCCTACAACACAAGAGGTCTCCACATTGTATAGTATCAATAAATTTAGCCAGGAAAGATTTTACACTTTTCAAAAAAGTATCAATAAATGTCTTGAATAAAAGGGGGTCAAATTACATTCTCAGAAGAGCATCATTTTGGATGGTGATTCTTACTCCTCTGCAGAACTAATAACTTGTAATTTTCAATCCACTTAGAACTGCTTTTCTTTGTCATGCTGCTGTTTTTGAGCCAAGTGTACACTGAAAACATACAGAATCACAGAATTGCAGGGGTGGAATGGAGCTCAATAGATCATCAAGTCCAACCCCTCTGCTAAAGCAGGTACCCTACTGTATGTAGGTCACACAGGTGGGCATCCACACGGGCCTTGAATATCTCCAGAGGAGACCCCATGACCTCTCTGGGCAATCTGTTCCAATGCTACATCATCCTTACGCTAAAAAGTTCTTCATGTTTGTATGGAACTTCCTATGTTCAAGTTTTAGGCTTTATCCTATCACTACGTACTACTTCATCCATTTGCCTCCCACTTCCCTTTAGGTGTTTATAAACATGAATCAGATTCCCCGCTTAATCTTCTTTTCCCCAGGCTGAACAGACCTAGGGTACTCAGTCCTTCCTCATACAGATGTTCCTGGCCCTTTATAATATTAGTGGCCCTTTGCTGGACTCCTTCTAGGAGATCCCTGTACTGGACACAGTAGTCTAAACATGGCCTCACCAGGACAGAGAAGAGGAGGAGCATCACCTCCCTTGACTGCTGGCCATACTCTTCCTAATGCACCCCAGGATCCCATTGGCCTTCTTAGCCACAAGGGCACACTGCTGGCTCATCTACTGCCAACAAGAACAGCCAGGCCCTCCTCTGCAGAGGTCCCCTCGAGCAGATCATCCCCTAACCTGTACTGATGCATGCTGTTATTTCTTCCCAAGTGCAAGATTCTAGTCTTGCTCTTGTTGATCCTCACCAGGTTCCTCCCTGCCCAATTCTACAGTCTGTCCAGGTCTTGTTGAATGGCTGCGCAGTCTTCTTGTGTGTACACCTAACAGAATTCTAAATATATATCAATATATATATATAGATGACTTTACCAACAAATTTTCAGTCTTAAGAAAACCTATTACCAAGCATGTTTGACAAAACTAATCTCTGTCTCACTTGGCTGATACAACATATGCTGTCTTCAATTCCATATTGATCTCACGCAGCCCTGGCCTTTCTAAATACAATGTAGACTCAGTTTTTTCAAGATTTACTAAAGAGAAAGTACGAGTTCTCAGCTGTAAAAACAATCTAGGTGCAAAAGATTGCTGGATCCTAAATAGTTTAAAATGTTTAATTTTAGCAGCTGCTTTTTTACAGCAGCATAAGTGCTAGAAAGATTTTTATTACTGCAAACTGTGAATACAGTATGCAGCTTCCACACAGTCAAAACCCAACAATTTTCTACTTCTGCTATTCTGGTACCATTATTTACATTTTGTTATTCCTATATAGTTGCTGTGTTTTTGCCATTATTTTTCCTTGTTCATAATAAGTAATATCTACTTTTGCTATCTGGCTGTATTTACACTGTTTTTCCTTGCTGGATTCTTCCTCTGACTTAAAGAAGTATCCATCAACTTACTGTCTGAGTATTACACGGGAATTATTCAAGAAACACAAATATTTATGTACACTTTATACAGTCAGTGGAGACTGAACATAGAAACAGTGCACATGCACAGTCTAATTTATAACTGTAAAAAAAGTAGTAGAGCTATTTAATAATTCATGACTGTTGTTTTTCAGTCAAGCTTCATAACTTCACTAGCAGATTCAAAGCAATCTGGCTTAGGTAATTCTTTTATTCCTATCATAGAGCATGTTGTGATTTTTCATCGCTACTAAAGAGCAATACTTAACAGTATCAGCCCTGCACAGCTACAGCATAGAAGCCAAGCAAGTCATCCAAGATCAAACAGGAAGTCTGTAGTAGGAAAAAAATATATTAAAAAAATCCAAGAACAGAGCCTTTTCATGTCATAGTTGTAAACAGGACACCTCCTCAGCATACATGAAGTCTGCCAAAACAGAAGGCTGCACACTGTGCCCAGCAGTGGGTCAGTTTCTAAGCAGGTGGGCAAAAGAGAACTGATGAAGGGAAAGTTTATTTCAGAATCCCTGCAACGTCTCTTTTCTGTGTAAAGAGATCATTTCACAAGCATTACATGAGTGTATCCCTAATAACAATATTCATTTACATCACTTGCAGGACTGAAAAAACATGTTTTCTTTATGAGTAATTGTTAACTTTAGAAAATAAAAAAAAAATAACTGTTTTCTAAGGCACTGAACAGGTTGCCCAGAGAGGTTGTGGATGCCCCATCCCTGGAGGCATTCAAGGCCAGGCTGGATGTGGCTCTGGGCAGCTTGGTCTAGTGCTTGGCGACCCTGCACACAGCAAGGGGGTTGAAACTAGGTGATCATTGTGGTCCTTTTCAACCCAGCCATTCAAGGATTCCATTATTCAAGTGCCTACACTATTTTTGTCATTATTTCAAAGAAAAAAAAATGCACAGGCAAGATTCAAAATTTCCATATGTTTTTATGCAAACATGGTATCGAGGAGAATCTGAAAGAAAAAAAAAAAAAAAACAACTTTGTCTTATAGCCAAGAATAGTAACGAGGGACCCTACTTGCCCACACTAAAGTCAGCGAGGTACACCAGCATCTGTTCACTGTAAGTCTGAAGCCTTACAGGGCCAATTTCTCAATAGCTACGGGACCTAGAACAAAAAATGTCAAACCAAAAACTTATCTACTCAGTACATACCTAACAGCATATTCATTGCCCTTGACAGAACAAAGACAAATTAACGCACTTGGCATCCCTGATTTCTTTATAAGGCCACAAAAGATAAGAGCACACTCAGAAATAGTCCAGTGCATGCAAAACATCACTTCTACTTTTTAGAAACCATACCAGGAAAATCATAGGTAAACAATACTCTTTTCTTCTCCTAAAACATGCCCTCTAATATTGAAATTAAAGCACCTACCACCATTTTCTTCTCCATTATTATTGTTTGTCTCAGCCATTTCAGTGCCATCTAACTCAGATTCACATCCTAAATCCAATGTTCCATCAGTAGGGCATGTTGATTCTTCTTTCTACAGTTAAAATGAAAAAGAAAACTAAAATTAACAAGAAAAAAATCAGATTTGATCCTGCTGCATCTCCAAAAATAGATTACTGCAGTATACTCATATGCTTGTATCTCAAAAAAAAAAAAAAAAAAGAAATGAAATGAAATATGCTTGTGAGTCCAGAGAAAAACATAAAAACAGTCTTTCATGAAACAACTTGCAAAGTAAAACCAAAAAAGCTACTTTGTGAAGTCAAAACATACTCTGTGTTTAAAAACTGTCATATAAAATGCAAGTTCTTCCACTTCTTATTTTATTTTTTAAATTCTTTTAACAGAAACAGCCTTGTTTGGCTGTTAAAAATCCTAGTGAGTGAGTGTCCAGAATGCTGCAGCAAAACACAAATCCTTTAATGTTTCTTTTTAGCTTTTGCCGGTTTCCTGAATTCAAATAGCTAAAGCAACCTGGAGTTCACGAGCATGGAAGTGATTGTGAATGCTTGGATTTATGCCAAGAATATCTCCAGATTTAAAGCAAAACAACGGCATTTATTTTAGTAAATTAGGAAATGGAAACCTATTAATTCAATCTCAAATACAGAACTTTTAGTTATCACTAGCAAACAAATCTACATGGGTTTATGTTTTTAAACTCTTACATGCAATTTGTCTGCCAGAAACTACAGAAAAGCCTTCCTTTCACTCCCCCCAGTTTCAAATTTTAATTTTCGACATTTAGGCGGCCAAACACATAATCTCACTCTAGTTTCTCTTCTCTGCTTCACATTCTTCCAGTTTGATTGTGAAGCCACTCTAAGTTCGATCATGGATAATAAAAAAATGTCATCCACAGAAATCACCAGGTACACACTGAGAAAGACAAATAAAGCAGAAAAGAAACAGCACAAAGGCAAAACTCCATCACTATAACTATATTCCCTGTCAAAACGAATGATGCAAGCGCAAAATTTAATGCTGATTTTTATTAGACTCACAAACAATTTTTCACTATTCAAAATCAAACATTAATAAATTATTTAACAAGAAAGCCTGTGATCATCTTGCTTTCACTGCTCATAAAACAATGGCTTTTCTGTGAACAACTCTGAAAAATCAGCATTTTAGTTAAGCTGCATGTTTTTTGTACTACATGCCAAAGTCAAGAACATGTATATGCTTTCTAGGATAAAACATTCAATGTTTACTTTCATTATAAATCCTTTTAAAAGACATCTGAAAGCAGTTAGTAGGACTATCAGGTCATTTCCTCTCCAAAGAATCTAATCTGTTTACTTTTCTATCTATTGAAACATTCATAAAGAGGATTAATAGCACCACGTACTTTCTATTCACAGCATTTAAACTTACTTTGAGAGCGTAGAGTCCTGACTTCCCAGGGATTTTGAAGAATGTTCCATCACCTACGCGAGTGTTAGTATGAAGCATTGCATTCAGGCAAGCTAATGGAGAAGTTCCACTGAAAAATAAAATTGTGCAAAAATAAAATAGTCCACGATTGAGTGCCTCTTGTAAAACTATTCCCTCAATCTGCTTTTTTTTTTTTTTTTTTTAAATCATGCTTGCCTGGCTTTTTTTTTTCCCCCTTCTTTTTTTTCTTTCTTTCTTTCTTTCTTTCTTTTTTTTTTTTTAAATTCTCTCAACGCTGAAAACATCTACATTACAATAACAGGCCAGTTTCAAACTTAATCATATGCATCTGTCCCCTAGGCTCGAGGCAAAAAGTCTGTGAATTATAATTACGCTTTTCTTCATACAGCAACCAGCTCCACATTTAAAGAGAACCATAGTCCAAATATTTATGTGAAATTACTTCGTAAATAACACCACGAAGCCTCATTTATAAAATGTAACAGACAACGTGGCTGCTGCACATGAATGATCAAAACAGCACCAAGTTCAAGGGCAGCTGCATCCTATAGGATGAAAGGCAACAAAAGAACAATACGGAGCCAAGGAACAACGCATTAAAATTAAAAGTGATATATAGTTAAGCCTTCTCCTGGCTTAATGTGGTCAGCATGCATTACTATACATAAATATAAGCACATTTATACGATTCTGTGAAGCACTATCTTTCCTAATTAGAATTGTTTTAAAGATAAGAGACTGACCTACTCAAGGTAGTAATTAAACATGATATCATTGTGGAATGTTCGTTAAGGGACTATTTAAATGGAAACACAATGTGTTAAGAAAAAGAGTACCTGTACACAGATCTCTTTATTAAATATGCATGGATACAGCAGAAAAAGAATGCACATGTTTCTACAACTGTGAAAAGTTCCTATCAGAAATGTTTTATTTCGATTTAATTTTAAAATGAAATGTTACTACAAGATGTACAGTTGCACTGTCACATCTCTGTCCTCATTTACTGACTGCTGAACACATAGTCTGGGACTGACTCTGAAACTGTGCTTCTTCCCTGGGGTCGTCAGCCTGCACGCGCGCTTATCTTGAGCCACGTAAATATATTCCACTTGGTTAAGTGGAACAATGCCTGCGCATTAAATTTAGCATGCTGCTAAGTATTTCAGGATTAATTATACACTCAGCTATAAGGCAAGATCAGGGCTTCAGAAGTCCGTCAGAAACAACTGTTCTTTATAATGCGTTGCTGTAACAAAACATCCTTTTTGAAATTCACAAGACTGGTTTTTTTTAAATATAAAACCTCTTTCTTTCACAGTACGCTGATCCTTTGTGTTAACTCATACAGCTCTGTTAGAAGATTCATCCTTCCTGTACATATATAAATTTAATGGAAAGATCATGTGGTAGAATCACAGAATGATGGAATCCTTAGAGTTGGAAGGTACCTTTAAAGGTCTCGTTCAATACTCATGCAACAAACAGGGACATGTGCAGCTAAATCAGGTTGCCCAGCCTCACCAGCCTCACCTTGATCTAGCCTCACCTTGAAACTCTCCAGGGACAGAGCATCAACCACATCTCTGAACAACCTGTTCCAGTGCCTCACCATTCTCCTTGTAAAAGACCTTTTCCTTAATCCAACCTAAGTCTCCCTTCCTTAGCTTGAAGCCTTTTTCCCTTATAATTGCATTCTGTCCTATATAATTTATTTACTATTGGTCACCCAGTATATCACATTACTACATCCAAAATCAAAAGTACAGGTAAAAATGGTGCTTGTTAATAAACACATCAGCTATTTAACATAAATGTATTTTATAAGTATTCTACATATGATTATCCAATATAAAAATTCTAAAAAATTTTCTGTCGTTTCTTTTTCTTTTCTGGGAGGCAAATAAAACTAATTCCACATCTGGTTTTAATATAATACTGTAACATAATATAACAGTAAGTATTGCAGAACTATAATGGTACTACTAACAGTAGCACAGAAGATACTAAAAGATTCCATTTCAATTGAATTTAACAATCACTTTCAAAAGTTTTGGAATACACAGCATACCTCTCTTTACACATTTTTCATACTGTATCAATGTTTGACAAGCAAAGACACGGGCATTTAATGGAGCAGTTCTAGCTGCATAATTTCTTCCATATGGTAGCATACATAACATGAGGCAGTTTAGACCCTCACAGTCTTGGATCTTTTCAGTTAAACATTATCACAGATTAAGACTTTCCCTGCAAGATAGAAAGAACTTGCTGACTCTGCAATGGAAGACAAACTCAATATATCAACAAGAAACAAAACTCTGCATACATGAATGCAGTGATTTGCTTCACCCTTCTAGACCTATGTAGAAATTCTGGATCCCTCACTTGTTTTTAGATACCATTAAGCAATTAAAATGATACATGATGAATGAACCCAGAATAGAGGATTTGGCAATATCTCATGACCACTACTGTGTTCACAGCAGATATCTTAATCTTCAAAGTCTAGCCAACTGGCAAGCGGACAATAGAAACTACTCTCAGACTTACAAAGAAATCTGCATCAGCTACTGAGCCAAGAGGTACTGTTATGCTTGTTTCATAAAGACATCTGCAATTCTGAAATAGTTTTGCCTGTGACCAAGAGGCTGTATTCACTCTTCTTGAAAAGTGGACTTGCATATATCTGTAAACAAAATAATAATCTGGATGCTAGCTAGCAGCTCAAATTGGAATCTCCCTTATCACTGCTATTCTGATCCATGCTAAGCAGTCATTTGCCTATTCTGTCAGCACAGGCATCCTTAAAATTTCTAGTCATTACCCACAAGGGGTGATGGACATGCTTTCAGTACATGCTATTACAACACAAAGAACAGTGGTTAGAAAACCCAGCAATCAAAGAGCCCATGACACAGGCTGATGTCTGAATCATAGGGTAGTATGTAATACTTATTGCACACTTTCTAAATTCTCCTAAGGCCATACTCACTCTTTTCAGAGCTACTGGCATATATTGATAGAGCAGCCAAGGATGGCCAAATAAATGGCTATGAGTATCTCTGAATGTGAAATGCTGCACAACTTCATCAAAATTTTCTAAACACTCCAAATTGGTTCAATTTTGATTTGATAAAATCAAATTGGGTACAAAAATTCTCTACTTCACAACTTGGTATCTGTGAATTTTTTAGCCATAACACATTTTAATCCAATATGCTGAAAGTTTTGTTGCCATAACCTACACGTGAGGAATATATTTAGCATCTACAGCCTTCAGATGCTGCACTTCTATATTATTTATGACCTCTTGGGTAAGACTTCTTTAAACCACTGTGGTCACATATATATAGTGTTGCCTCCTGTAGTATGTATTTAAAATATACCATTTTCTGCTGGTATATTTATTTTATACAAACATACATACAAACATAAGAGTAGTATATTATATTATTTATACGTGCACAATTTCAGAAACTTTTTGTTATTTTTTTTTTAAGTTACTTACTTTCTGTGAAGGTGATATGGAGTCACAACAACCAGCAACATAGGAAAGAAAAGAAAATACTGATTAGTCATTCAAAATAAAAGTTCTTATTACAATTAGATCATTTAAAGGACATTAGGCAATTCAAGGTTACAGATACGCTCTTCCTCATAATCACAGTAAGTTGGAAGCAGTCAAACGTTGTACCAAATAATGTCACAAAACTCCTGTACATTATAAAAGCAAGATAATCAGCCCAACTCCTCAGTCAAAAATATACTGTGATTTTGGACTCCCTCTGCTGGTCATGCAGCTGGTGCTACCTGAAGCCAAACTCCAGCCTCAATGGCCTCCAAACAGAAACCTCTGCAAAAACATGTGCAGCGAGAACAAATGTCCGATGCCCTCCCCAGAGCAAAAAAATATATAAAAAGAGCAATAAGACCACAATTTATTTGTAACTTTTCAAACACATAGCTTTGTCAGAAACCCTGAAAACTTCTACGGTTATACTTTTAATAGTAATGGCCTTTGCTAGACTGCTTGCAAAGAGAAAAATGATGATTTTGGAAAATGAGATGTTTCAAATACGGAAAACAAGATGCCTAAAGCCAGTCTGTTCCACCAATACAGTGTAGCAGGCAGTGGAAGCACCCTGAGACTGGGCACACAGGGCATCCAGCCCCAAAGCAGGCAGCACTTCAAGCCCTTCAGCTCCTTCCTAGAGCTTCCTGGGGTTCCCGCTGGGATCTTAAATGGGACTACAAGTGCTGGAAGAGCACTTCACTGCCATAAATATGATTATCAATTTCTGTCAGCAATCATCTGCTCATCCTATACAGATCCATAAATAGACAGAAAGCTGAAAACAAAGTAGAAGCAAAAGGGCCCGTAACTGATTTCTAGATCTGCTAGGAAGTCACACAGCTAAAACACGCTTATCACACTTGTATATCAAGGGATTGCAAGTACCCTGGAAGAAAGACCTAAGGTTACAAGATGCCTCAGTGGAGACTGAGGTTAAAATTGGCAACATGAAAGTCAGTCAAAATAAGTGCTATACAGAGTATGAAATCAAATACTGAAAATACATATATTCATGGCAAGTCAAAGGGAAAGACACGACCACAATGAAATGAATCAAAAAGTAATGATGGCCCCTCAACTGTATTAACAGAATGGGTCAACTGGATTGCCATCTGAGTCATACAAAGCAAATATTTGTTTACATTAAGTGCTAGTGGATTCTTGTCAAATGCTGGGCCTCCTTAATGAAAAATGTAGACAAAAAGTAGAAAGTCTAGAGAAGAACAACCATGGTAACACATAAGAGAATACAACCTATGGGGAAAGGTTGCAGAAAACATATTTGTGTGATTCAGTGGAGTAAAAGTAAGCATAACTGTAATTTTTCAGAAAATTTAGAATGCTTTTGCAAGTCTAGAGAGATTAATATACTTCATAGCCACTGGAGGAAGAAAAAGAAAGTTCACAGGTTGTTTGAAAGTGTGAAAGTAACTGTTACTGTTTTAATCAACACCAGAACAAGACAAGGAAGTTTGTAAAATAACTTTCATCAGAGGATTAAATAAACACCT